CAGTGGGTAACAACAAGGCCAGTGGAGGTGATGGCATTCCAGTGGAACTATTTAAAATCTTAAAAGATGATGCTGTTAAGGTGCTACACTCAATATGCCAGCAAGTTTGGAAAACTCAACAGAGGCCAAAGGATTGGAAAAGATCAGTCTACATCCCAATCCGAAAGAAGGGGAGTGGCAAAGAATGCTCCAACTACCATACAATTGCACTCATTTCACATGCTAATAAGGTTATGCGCAAAATCCTACAAGGTATGCTTGAGCAGTATGTGGACCAAGAACTCCCAGAAGTACAAGCTGGATTTCGAAGGGGCAGAGGAATTAACATGTGCTGGATTATTTAGAAAGCCGGAGAGTTCCAGAAAAACATCTACTTCTGCTTCATTGATCACCCAAAAGCCTTTGAATGTGTGGATCACAACAAACTATGGCAAGTCCTTAAAGAAATGGGAGTGCCTCACCACCTTATCTATCTCCTGAGAAATCTATATGTGGACAGGAAGCAACAGTTAGAACTGGATATGGAACAACTGATTGGTTCAAAATAGGGAAAGGAGTATGACAAGGCTGTATATTGTCCCCCGGCTTATTTAACTTAGATGCAGATTACATCATGCAGAAGGCTGGACTGGATGAATCCCATGCCGGAATTAAGATTGCTGGAAAAAATACCAACAACCTCCAATATGCAGATGATACCACTGTGATGGCAGAAGGTGAGGAGGAATTAAAGAATCTCGTAATGAGGGTGAAAGAGGAGAGTGCAAAAATGGTCTGAAGCTCAACATAAAAAAAAAACAAAACCAAACACGATGGCCACTGGCCCCATCACCTCCTGACAAATAGAAGGGGAAGAAATGGAGGCAGTGACAGATTTTACTTTCTTGGGCTCCATGATCACTGCAGATGGTGACATCAACCCCAAAATTAAAATATGCCTGTTTCTTGGGAGGAAAGCGATGACAAACCTAGACAACATCTTAAAAAGCAGAGACCTCACCTTGCCAACAAAGGTCCGCATAGTCAAAGCTATGGTTTTTCCAGTAGCAATGTGTGGAAGTGAGAGCTGGACCATAAGGAAGGCTGACCGCCGAAGAATTGATGCTCTTGAATTCTGTTGCTGGAAGAGACTCTTGAGAGTCTCCTGGACTGCAAGGAGATCAAACCTATCCATTTTGAAGCAAATCAACCCTGAGTGCTCACTAGAAGGACAGATCCTGAAGCTGAGGCTCCAATACTTTGGCCATCTTATGAGAAGAGAAGACTCCATGGAAAAGACCCTGATGTTGGGAAAATGTGAAGGCAAGAGGAGAAGGGGACGACAGAGAATGAGATAGTTAGACAGTGTCACTGAAGCAACCAACATGAATTTGACCCAACTCCGGGAGGCAGTGGAAGACAGGAGGGCCTGGCGTGCTCTGATCCATGGGTTCACAAAGAGTCAGACATGACTTAACGACTAAACAACAAAATATTTACCCAAATAGACAAAGTTTATCAAATGAAATATTTTGTTTATTTAAAAAAATTTTATCCTGTCTTTCTCCTTAAAAAGGACCCAAGGCAGCTTACATCATTAAGACACAATACCAAAAGCCAGAAAGAGTAAATTATTCAAATATCTTTTTTAAAAAAAATGATAGTTAGGTTAAAGGCATTATGAAAACCAGATATAGAAGCAACAAAATATAAATAATCCTGTTTACTCTCTGAATACTGAATTCTGAAAATCTTCAGCTACTCAGTTAAATGTTTGTCCTGTAACATCTGTTCAGTACTCTTTATTTTAAAAAAACTTGGCCATGGTGTTGGACATGATGTCCCTGGCATTAGTAGAACTCTATTCACCCTTTCATTTTCATTTCCGTGAATGATGTTCTTCTGCACTGAAGACCAAAGATATATAATGTATTTGTTCCATAATGGAAGATATAAACCACCTGATTCATCTGGCTGTTCAACTGGAAGACTGCACAGGATTCAGAGACTGGATACAAAAAGTGTACTTTAAACCACTCATTTTCTAGCCTAATGGAAGTAAAAGTCCCGTGAAGGGCATGAGAGAACAAACTCTTGAGATATGGGTGGTTTCTTGCTGGTGCAGGATTTTCTTTCTGCCTGTCACAGCTAGGAAAAGAGAAGACAATATTTTGGAAGGTTCTTTGGCATGACAGAGAGTCTAAGGAAGAGTCTAAGGAAGGCTAATAGATTAGTGACTGCTTTTCTGTTCCTAATGACCATGGTGGCAGTTGAGCTGGTAGATGGTGGGAATTCTTTATACATAATGTATCTTGACTTCAGCAAAGCCACTGACAAAGTGCCCATGATATTCTGATTAGCAAGCTACCTAGATGTAGATTAGACAGAACAACTGTCAGGTGGATACACAACTGTTTAAGAATCATTCGCAGAGATTGCTTATCAATGGTTCCTTCTCAAACTACAAATAGGTAACAAGTGGGGTACCCCAAGGCTCAGTCCTGCGTCAATGCTCATCAACATTTTTAATAATGACTTGGATGAGGGAGGGCAGGGAATACTTATCAAATTTGTGGATGACACAAAGTTGGGTGGAATAGCTAATACCTTGGAAGACAGGAACAAAATTCAAGAAGATCTTGATAAGCTTGAGCACTGGGCTGAAAATAACAGAATTAAATTTAACAGGGATAAATGCAAAGTTCTACACTTAGGGGAAAAAACCCACACCACAGGCAAAGTTACCAGATGGGGAATACTTGGCTCAGCAATACTAAAAGTGAGAAGGATCTTGGAATTGTTGTAGATCAAAAGCTGAATATGAGTCAATAGTGCAATGTGGTTGCAAAAAAAAGGCAAATGCTATTTTAGGCTGCATTAACAAAAGTATAGTCTCAAAATCCTGTGAGGTATTATTCCCCCTCTATTCAGCACTGCTTAGGCCTTATCTAGAGTATTTTAGATGAATACAGTTCTGGACACAACACTTTAAGAAGGATGCCAACAAACTGAAGCAAGTTCAGAGGAGGGCAACAAGAATGATCAGGAGGCTGGAAACCAAGCCCTATGAGGAAAGGCTGAAAGAATTGGGCATGTTTAGCCTCGAGAAAAGGAGACTGAGGGGAGGGATGCTAGCACTTTTGAAATAGTTGAAAAGTAGTCATACAGAGGAGGGGCAGGATCTTGATCATGTAACAGTGGGCTCAAGCTACAAGAAGCCAAATTTAGGCTCAATATCAGGAAAAACATTGTACAGTAACTATTAGAGCAGTACAAAAATGAGTTACCTCAAGAGGTGATAAATACTCCAACGCTGGAGGCATTCAAGAGAAAATTGGACAACCATCTGTCAGATCTGCTTTGATTTGCATTCCTGCATTGAGCAAGGAGTTGGACTTGATGTCTTTATAGGCCCCTTCCTAGTCAATTATTCTGATTCTGTATCTATACTGTCATATAGTTATGGTTTATGGCTATCTGATAGCACTGTTTGGCATGGGAAAAAATACCTCATCTGATTTTCTACCAAAAACGATCCATCCTTCAGCTTTTACAGCTGACCTGTAGCTTTCTGGCACGGGACTATGACATGCAATCTTTTCTGAGATGATTCATTGGGATGTAAAATAGCTCTTTGTTCTGCCTTTGCAGATTGGGACCAAGAGTTAAAATATTTTGCACTGGAGATAAGGAAGGACCTTTTACAGTAAGCACGGCCAGATTGCACCAAATTTCACAGTGTGGAGAGGCCCAGTGATATTCCCAGGAATCCAGAAGCCTCTGATTTGAACCTTGTTTCTGCCATGTACTCAGCCTCTCTCTCACCCTAAATCTTTCTTCTCTAATCTTCAAAATGGGATGATAATAATGGCTTATGTTACAGGATTGTCGCAAGAAACTTATTTATTTTATTTTATTTCATTTCATTTAGAACTAAATCCAGTTTTAGTTCCATCTAGAATTTCAGTAGCAGCTTTCTCCCAGTTTTAGTGCCAACAGAGTCCATGGGACTTAACATTAGCGCTGACTAACAAATCCCGTTCATTTCAGTGGATTTGCTCTGGTTGGAACTAAAATTGATTTAGCCGCACATTTCTATATAGCTCAGTAGCCACAGGTCTTGGTTTTGCTCACTAAATAAGAGTTTAAAACCGTATCAGTACAGCATCAAATCCCAGTGTAAAGTCTTTGAACCCTCCAAGACACTTAAGCTCACTCTGTGGCTCTATTAAAAATTTAACATGAATAAGACATAAAAATGTGCACTATGCTATTCCAACTGAAGGAGAGTCTTTGGTTATCCCTTACTCACTAGAATGAGCAAGTGGGTAGTTTACTTATTCTATTTATTGATTGATTTGTTTGATTTATTTGATTTATATACCGCCCATCTGGCAGCCAAGGCCACTCTGGTCGGTTTACAACAAATAACATAAAACAAGAAAGTAACAAAATAGTTCTGATGTGGGTGGACCTGGTTCCCTCTTTCAGATGAGCACAACAATGTCAATGACCTCAACTCACTATCATTCAGAAATAGCAGGGGTGCTGATTCCAAAAATTTAGTTGCTAGCTGAAAAATAAACTTCTGGTTTCCCTTTTGGGAAGTTACTTAGGCATCGATGCCAGAGAGATGTAAAATATGGATGCAAAATAAAGGAGAGGGGAGAGATGGCTCCTGGTTTAGAGGAACTTGGCTTATGCTGTTTAAAGAGATACAGGGAGATACAGTCAATCGACTGTACTGTATTTACCAGGCTGGCCAGTGGGTCCAAGAAAAAGTGAAAACAACCCAGGTCTGTTTCTTGTTCAGCTAGGCAGTCTTGCAAGTGTGTGGTGGAATTTGAGCAGCGAATATAGTTGCTGTGAGTTTCCTGCCTGTGTACTTTACTGGTTTCTCTTGTTGCAGAGAAACTCGCTGGGTGCTGAAAATAGCTCAAATGCTCCTAGGACAGTAGCAGCCGCCAGCAGCTGAAATTCTTGTGTGCGCTTATCGCCTTCTCTCTTTCTCTCTGTTGCAGGTCCTTGTTCTTCAGTTAAACTTAGACCTTTAGAGGAGCTAAACGTTAAGGAAGGACTGAGTTAACAAGATCTGGATGTAGAAGAACAAAAATATTAATATCTCCGACATCTGAAAACAAGACGACTCGTCTGACTGGTAATTTCTCCCTCCCCTATGTGTGTGTTAGGGATTTAGAATTTTATGCTGTATTCATAGCTGGCATTCCTTGGTCGCTAATTAACATACTGTAAGAACCTGCCACAAGAAGGTTGGCATTTCTTAGCAACACACACACACACACACACACACACAGATACATACTGCGGTTAATGGGCCTAAGGTATGCAGAAGTATACCATCTCAACTTGTGAGTTTTGTGATATGTGATGCTATGTTCATGGTAAAGATTTGGGAAACTTAGCAAAATGCTAGCCCTACATAAAGTCGGCTTTTATTACGATAGGACTTTTCTCTGTTAGTTTCCCTCATCTGTCTGATTACTCCATTCGAAAATAGATCTGATGGAATAGTCAGTGGTTTTCGTAGTAAATTGTTGGTTCGACCTAAAGTGCTTGAAATTCAGAATCCTACAATCTACTATAATTGCTGTGTTTTTTTAAAAAAAAAACACTAACAGTTGTTGCAGTACTTTTATTACGATAGGACTTTTCTCTGTTAGTTTCCCTCATCTGTCTGATTACTCCATTCGAAAATAGATCTGATGGAATAGTCAGTGGTTTTCGTAGTAAATTGTTGGTTCGACCTAAAGTGCTTGAAATTCAGAATCCTACAATCTACTATAATTGCTGTGTTTTTTTAAAAAAAAAACACTAACAGTTGTTGCAGTACAGAAATGAGAATAATTGCTGTGTGTTTTTTTTTTAAAAAAAACACTAACAGTTGTTGCAGTACAGAAATGAGAGATGAAACAATGTCAGAAATATGATTTTGTACAGTGGTGCCTCGCTTAACGATTTTAATTGGTTCCAAAAAATTCATCGCTATGGGAAAACATCACTAAGCGAAACATGGTTTCCCATAGAAATGCATTGAAAACCGGATAATCCATTCCAATGGGAATGGATTGCCGTCTTTAAGCGAAAATCGCCATAGGAAACATCGCTAAGCGAAACACGGTCCCCCAATTGAAATGCATTGAAACTATTCAATACATCTCAATGGGGGAAAAAAATTACAACAAATTTTAAAAGAGTCGGAACAAAGTCAAATTAGTTTAACAAAGGGTTTATTAAATGCACTTATGATTTCAAGCATTCTAAACATTTTTAAACGTATAAAAACAGCCAACATGAGGCTGTCAAAACCATCGTTAAGCGAAACAGGGGGACCCAAACTGTCATCGCTATGCGAAGCATGATCCCAAACATCGCTATGCAGAAATCACCCATAGGGAACATCGTTAAACAGAGCGCAAGATCGCTCTGAAAAAGCCATCGCTAAGCAAATTTGTCATTAAACGAAGTGCTCGTTAAGCGAGGCACCACTGTATTTTGAATTGATTAGTGGGGTTTCTTTCAGTTTGAGATATCCTGATGCAATAGAGGTCTAGAGTTTCAACTTTTGCATTGGCATCCACTATCTGCCAGAGGCAACCTGAAGTGGTACATTTTAGGGAAATCTAATATGCTTGATTTTTTCTGAGTATATGAACTGCCCCTTGACTATTGACTCCTACTGTCTCTTGTCTTTGTTAACTCTTTCCTTTCCTTGGCTCTTTGTTAACTCTTTCCTTTCTTTTGCTCTGCTTCTTCTCTTTGATTAGCAGATATAAATGTAGACATGGGTGATACAGATATATAGGTCTGCTTACTCTCCCAAAGGACTTTTAGTGTGATGTGTCCCTTTTAAAATAACCCAGCTCACTTTTTCTGTCAAAAGTTCTCCTTGCACTGTAAGATGTTGTGACCAAAATCTTATTGTTTAGCATAGTAAATTGCACTAGAGTAAGGTCATTAAATAAATAAGGATTTGATGAGTCAACTTCTCTGTAACTTCCATTGATTGAAATGGGCCTACTCTAACTATGACCTACTTCAGCACTGTCCAGTTTAATCAGACAAACAGTAGGATTATCGCTGGTGAAAGGTTAAAGCCAAGCATGAGACAACAAGGGGCTGACATAAACCTTCCCTGTAGAAAATAACTTTCCATTTGCTAGAAGGCTTGTAGTCAGTTCCCAGAAAAATATTTATATTAATGAAGGGGGGGGGGAAATGGTTGGTTATTTCCTATTTTTCAAACTAGTTTTCTCAAAATAAAAATAAAAAAGAATTTAGAGTCCATTGCAACCTATTTGAGAAGAGGACATTAAGAAGACAAGTCTGCAAAGTTGTGTGCTGTGGAATAAAGGCATAGGATGATGTTTATAATCCATATTGCCACATAAAAGTACTATTTTACTTTCCACTCCTTTTCATGTTCCTTTGTAGAAAGAATTAAACTGGCTCAAGTTTAATTAGTTTAATGAATGTGCAAAGGTAGTGGTGAGGATTCACTCCAGGCAGAATGCCATGCAAACCAGGCAGCAATCTACTCATCCTGTACTCACACTGGCTGGAAATTCAGTAATCCCATACACTTAGTCCACTCTCTCTCTCTCTGTTTCTCCCTCTTTCACACACAACTGCTCAAACTCTGTCACAGTTCCTCTTGCTCACACTTTGCGTGTGATCACACAGACAATACAGCTCACATTTTGGACCACTTGTACCACTGCTCAGCGAGAGCTATTTCTCAGTGATCACACAACGTATGGGCAATTGTGCTCCAACCTGCCCTCGATCAATGCCCAAATTGGATCTCTCTGGTCCAACAGGAGAGCTATTACTTTTGGGAGGCAGGCTAGAGTGATCCCCCGGCAGATGATGCAATCAGACGTGACCTTTTTCATGATCTGTTCACGTCTGACTCTTTGTTTGCTGAGAAGGAAAAGGAGAGCAGGAGAAGAAGCTCTGTCTCTTTCTTTGAAATCCACACAATGTGTTCTCTTTATGTAAAACCTATTCCCTAGTCCTCTTATAGGAAAAGCCAATGGGAAGGTGAGAAGGGTTTCATTATATCACCTTGAAATAGGAGCTGTCACCACATCACCCTTCTTCATCCATTGAAGATGAAGGAACTTTCTTTGCCCAACAGATGGGAAGACAGCTGTTGTTGGATCTATCCTTTCCCTAGATTTCAGTCTTAGGATGGGTTCTGCTTTCCCATAGCAAAAAGCTTTGCTTCTGGCAGTGTACACAGAACACCACCACACAACCAGTTTGCTAAAGATCATACTCTCAGTCTGAGTCTGATTTCTTCATGTTGCTTTCTGTCCATTCAGCCAAAAAAATAAAATAAAACTAATGGTTGGCTAGCCTTAAGAGAGATTCTGTACAGGCATGCTCAGTATAACATTCCTTTCTGAAATAATGGCAGTGATTGCTGAGTGGGCACTTCTCATCAGTGCCCAATTTTTACGAAAATTACGTGGTGCCAATTGACTATTTAGAGTTGATCAAGGCTATGTATGCGAAAGCGGCAAAGGTGACTTTCCTTGTTTCTGTCTCCAACTGCTTTTCAAAATTTCAAAAGAAGCTAACAAGTCCAGTAACTGAGAGGATCATATTCTAGATGTTTTGGATTACAACTCCCACAGCCCTTTATCATTTTGGTACAGGCTGGGGATTCTGGGAGTTGAAGTTCAAAACATCTGGAGCATAAAACGTTTTCCACCTTTGATAGAGAAAAGTGGTTCCCAAACTTGGGACACCAGATGTTCTGGAACTAAAACTCCCAGAAGCCTTCCCCACTAGCTGTGCTGGCCAAGATGTCTGGTATACAGTGGACTCTCTACTTACGGAATTAATCCGTATTGAAACGGTGGCTGCAGGTCGAAAAGTCTGTAGGTAAAGTCTCCATTGACCTACAATGCATTGTAAACCGATTAATCCCGTAACCGGTCGTTTTTGTTCCATTTTTGTTCCATTTTGGTTTTTTTCTGGTCTGTAAGTCGATTCTCCGGCTGCAAATCGAACCTAAATTTTGCGGCCAGAGAAGTCTGTAACTCGAAAAGTCTGAAAGTCGAGCCGTCTGTAAGTCGAGGGTCCACTGTAGAAGGTTCAGAAGGAGAATGCTCAGAATGATTAAAACCTGTTTAAAGTAGCTGCTATAATAGGAAGAAACACTACCACTAAGTGCTGGTGTTTGATTAATGCTGGTGTGAGGATCATCAAACAGGTAAATGCCTAGATGGGAGGGACATAGAAGAGACGGGATCTAGCTGGTCCTGATCAGACTGTTGTTCAAGGTGCAATAGAGGGCAAATGAGTGTAACAACTGAATTTAAGAGCAATGGTTCATGGCAATACATGAAAGGTATTTCTCTATAACTGTGCCCTCTCTGTGGAATTCCCTGCTCCAAGAGCTTAGGTTACTTTTTCCTCTCTGTTCTACCTCAAAGTGACAACTTGGGTGTTAAATTCTGGACCCAGACTCCCAGAGGCAGTTCGTGCCGTTCTGCCAACTCCTGCGACGTTGCTGGAACCAGTTGTATTGGCTCTTGCCTTTCCATTGGACCATTTCAGCAACGTGGAGAGGGGGGATTAGCTGCTTGGGTAACAGTCTATCCTCCATATTACTTTACCCAGGCTTCATGCTCTGGAGAGGACACTTCTCGATACAGAGCATGTTACCATAGTCTCTTGAGACTGAAGGATGCCGATGATGATGATGATGATGATGATGATGATGATGATGATGATGATGATGATGATGATGGGTGTTAAATTGCGGTCACATGACTCAGTCTGACCAATGTGCACTCCCTTGTTAGGGTAAATTGATTCCTGGCTTCACTGCCCATCACCTGAGCAGCGCCCATCACCAGTTTTGCTCCGACTTAGGACCCAGAGGCTGGCTTCACCTCTGGAAAGCTGTGGTGTGGCCCCTGGAAGCAGCTGAGAGGAGCAGCAGCAGTAAAACTGGGTCCCTGCAGCTGAGCATGTGCCAGCTGATGGGCAGTGAAGTCAGGCTGCTGCATCCTGGACCATAGCACTATTCTTCTTGGCAGGCTCCGGGATTTGCACCACAGCTTCCAAGTAGCGAAGCCAGCCAAGGAAATGCGAACAACAATTTATAACCATGTGAATGTCATG